AAGTTTCTCTTAAAACATAAACATTGAAAACATTTCCCTTGAGATGAATTTTGTCTCTTGAGACAGTTTCCCTTGAAACAAAATCTTTGAATATGTTTTCCTTGGAACTAATTTCATCTCCCCGTGAGACAATTTCTTTTGGAACTAAGTTTTGTCTCTCTTGAGACAGTTTTTCTTAAAACAAAATTTTGTCTCCCTTGAGACCGTTTCTCATGAAACAACAAATATCTTTGAGATCGTTTCCCTTGAAACGAATTCTATCTCTTTCGAGACAACTTCTCTTGAAGCATCATCTGAACCGTTACACTCAGCTCAGACACATATTTGGGATGGTCGAGAAGCATTTTTCAAATCAAAAAATAGAATGTGCACATCAGATTTGAACATTTGAAGAATTCAAGATCAGGGATCAGAACTTGAGGATTCCAGAACTAAGATTCCAGAAAAGCAACCGGAGATCGAGATTTCAATCCTGAGCCCAAAAATAACATATGTTGCATATGCATTTTAGGCATACCTAAGAGCATTGCATCCATCTCATCACATATATGCATAACATTTTCAGGCTTTAGCTAGAGTCAATTTCAACTTCACAGTGAAGGATATTGAGCTCAAAGCTACACAATCAACTCGAGAGTAGATTTCAACTTCGCGACGGAGGATATCTAACTCGAAGCCAAACTTCACAATACTTGGATTTCAACTTCACGACGAAGGATATTCAAGTCAAGGCTCAACTTCACGACGAAGGGGATGGAGGATATCGTTCCCACACATCCACGATTTTAACTCCACGACGGAGGATATAGTTCCCACACATCCACGATTTTAACTCCACAACGGAGGATATCGCGCCACCTGAGACAACACAAGTTCAACTTCACAACGAAGGGACGGCTGGTTGTCAACAAACAATTTCCCAGTTTCAGAGCCAATTTCAACTTCACAACGAAGGATATTGGATTCAAGACAGCACAAGCTCAACTTCACAGTGAAGGGGCGGCTGACTGTCAACAAACAACTTCCCAATTTCAGAGCCAATTTCAACTTCTCAGCGAAGGATCTTGGACCCAAGACAACACAAGCTCAACTTCACGACGAAGGGGCGGCTGATTGTCAACAAAATTTCATTCAGAGTCAATTTTAACTTCACAGCGAAGGATATTAGACTCGAGACAGCACAAGTTCAACTTCACAAACGAATGGACGACTGGTTGTCTACAAACAACTTCCCAATTTCAGAGCCAATTTCAACTTCACAACGAAGGATATTGGACTCGAGACAACACAAGTTCAACTTCACAACGAATGGACGGCTGGTTGTCAACAAACAATTTCCCAATTTCGGAGCCAATTTCAACTTCACAGCGAAGGATATTGGACTCGAGACAACACAAGTTCAACTTCACAACGAATGGATGACTGGTTGTCAACAAATAATTTCCCGGTTCCAGAGCCAATTTCAACTTCACGACGGAGGATATTGGACTCGGAACAATGCTACTTACTTGGATTTCAACTTCACGACGAAGGATATCCAATTTCAGGCTCAACTTCACGACGAAGGGGCCACCCGCGGTTTCAACTTCACGACGAAGGGAATCGTGCACACAAGCATCATCCATCTTTAGATTGGATTTCAACTTCACGACGAAGGATATCCAACTCAAAGAAGGAGTATCTGTCAACAAAGACCTTCGAGTTCGACTACGCTCAACTCCAAGGCACATCATTTACAGCATAACTCAAGGCTAGAAGGGTTATCTGCCATAAAAAATTATCAAGTTCGATTCCATTCAGCTCAATGACACATCAATCACACTATTTTCCGGTTGCAGACGAGGTTTTCAAGTCGAGAAGAGGACCTGGGTTAGCCGTGCCTTAGTGACAAGCAACCATTTTCAAGAAGCATAGCTTAAGTCAAGAAAAAGCTATTTGTCAATGAAGATTTCTGAGTTCGATTCCGATCCAAGGTCTTTAAACCGAGAAGAAGACTGAAGGGCAACGGGAAGCCACGTGCTGATTCAAATTCTAAACTACGGCTTCAATTTCATATCATTTCAAGATGAACTCGATTTCATGATGGAGGAGTCGTCCGTAACTCAATTCGACATGGAGTTATTGAAACATCAGAGTCAATTTTCAACTCCACTGAATGAAAAGTGTCTTTTAATCTTTGCCCTATCCCCGTTACACGACTATGGGCAAAGAGGGGCAGCTGTCAACACACCTTTACGTCCTACTAGGATTCAAACTCCTAAAAATAGAATAGAATTTTGCTAGGATTTAAACTCCTAAAAATAGGATAGAGTTCTACTATTATTTAAACTTTTAAAGATAGGATCTACAAGCATTATAAATAGCTATTGTAACTCACTATTGTAACAGAAGAGGATATACGAAATACCAAGCAAAAAAATTACAAGCAACTCATAGCCATTTTTCAAAGCATTTATATTTTAAAAGGTAAAGTTCATACCTTCGCATGTTATTTTTCCTTACCCTTGCTGTGTTTTTATTCGAAAGAAAAATGAGAGAAGTGTTTTTGGCCGATGAACGGGGGCGTTTTCGAGATCTATTTTTGTAGATTTAGTCCCCGATGCTTGTGTTTTTGAAAAACTATTCGGATTTTTATAAACGGGTCGTGTGGATCCGCATGTTTTATCATTTTTTCCTTCGATTAGCTTTTAATTTTGACCCCCTAATTCATTTTTTATTTTAATTTAACCCTTATTATTTATATGTATATATATATATATATATATATATATATATATATTTATTTATTATTATTTTTTTCATTTTTCTTTGTGTTATATTATATTATTTTCCTATTATTATATATAATATATATTATATTATTATTTTTTTATATATATTTACTTATTTACTAAATTTTTTTTACTATATTTTCCTAGCGTTATATATATATATATATATTCTTACTTCATTTTATTTTATATTTCTATGATTATTATTTTTTTAGTTAATATTATATGTATATTTATTTTTTATTTATTTATTTATTATTGTTACTATTTAGTATTTTATTATATTATACATACATTTTTATATTTTTATATATTTTTTTATTTTATTTATATTATTTATTTATTTTCATTATATTTTTAATTTCTTTGCTCTTATTATTATTTTTCTTTTTTTAAAAAATACTTTACCTTTTTTTATTCTTTTTTGTATATATATTTTTTTCTTCATTTATTTTATTTTATTCAATTTCATTTTTTTTATATTTGTTTTATCCAATTATTTTATGTTTATTATTATTGGTTTCATTTATTTTCTTGGTTTACTCTTTAGTTTTGTTACTTTCTTTTATTATTATTATTTTCTTTTAATATCTTATTTTAATTTTTTAAGGGTATTTTCGTAAACTCATAAATGGTAAGTAATTCGGATCAAATTTTATCTTTTAATTTAACTTGTAATTTTCTTAATCAAAGACAACTGGAAATTACGTAGTACCGAAAGGGTGGTTCAAGGGTGTTAATCCTTCCTTGACTGTAACCGACTCCCGAACTCGACACATCTTTGGAAAGACGCAGATCATGTAAGAAATAGGATATCCGATCAACTCATTTATTTTAAATAAATGATCGGTGACGACTCCCAATCCACATTTTTCCTAAGTCGAAGCCAAATTCCGAGAACCAACCGAAAGACGGTTACGACAAAACCCAACCACTAAACTTTTTTCACGGCAACAATCAGAAACGGTCTCACCAACAACCCCATCATTACCACCACCAATACCACCCAATCACAGCCTTGGAGACCCTAAACCCAAATCTCACACCTTCCACGAGACTCGTCACTCCGGGACCGTACCATGCTTTCCCGAAAACACCACCCGTTTGCTCGACCTGACCGAGCATTCCGACCCCGGAGGAGCTGAGCAGACCCGGAGTGATTAGTCCGGTTGGCTGAAGTGGCATGGGACCCCACGATTTCCTGATGGTACCCAAGTTAGATCCGGATCGCATGGATCCACTGTTGGGCTGCGAAGAAGAGGAAGCACGTGAAGGTTGCAGAACTTGTGACTGCTGCTTCGAGTTGGGATTAGAAGGAGGACGACTGGAAGAGGACCGATCAACCAACATTTTCCCAAGCTCACTGGATTTATTGATATCACTGTCGGTGTACTCCAGCCACTAATCACTGAAATTGGAAGTTGGAAACTAATTTAGATTTGAGTTTGAGGTTTTTAAGTCGTGAAGGTTGTCTAAAGTATCATTTTATGAATTATTATGATCCTAGATTTGTACTATTATTTCCTTTAGTTTTGTGGTTGATTTGCATTTCATTTTATTGCTCGTTGATTAGTTAAAGGGGTGAGGAGGAGAGCAATAATGCGGCGGCGGTGGGGAGGAGAGGGAATAAGTTAGAGAAACGGGGTAAAATGGGTTAACTACAACCTTAATCTCTGAAGTCTCTAAGATTTTTGAAATTGAAAACTTTAAAAAGAGAAAAAAATATTTGAGTGATAAATGGTGTAATTTACCTAACATGAATTAACGGAACAGTTGATCAACGACGAAAAATGTTGATCAAACGATCACATTGAATTTTTTTTTTTGGAGTTAGAGACCACATTGATAAAAAAAAGGATGAGGGCTACATTGATTTTTTTTAAATTTTAGGGACCTCATGTGTCTTTTTGCCAAAAAATCTTTAATTCTTGAAATATTTATATATATATCAAAGATAAAATAGTATTTTAATAATTAACAATCAAATTATATCAAACTAAAACATAAAAATTTAAACATTATAAAATAATTAATTTAATGATTTTAAATCAATGTAAAATCACATAATTTTACATTGTATAAGTAAATTCTAATATATATATATTTAGACTATAGGAAAAAGAATCTTTTAAATTGTGTTTAATTTTGTTATGTATCATATTTATGATATTTTTAATCATTTGACGTTAAACGCTCACACCATTCAGTTTAACAAAAAGGCATTTAATGAAGAGAAAGGAGAGGAAACGAACTTGTTCAATGGTTTACATCCCAACAAGTGTATATGTAGATGGTGTAAAGTCTTGCACAAAATAACAATACTATAAAGTTCCCTTGGCAGCTTTTAGATCTTTGGTTTTATAGAATAGAAGAAATGTTTGATTCTTCTCCATTCAGCATCAACAGTCTTCTCTTCCTTCTCGGCAACCTTGGCTTCGGCTTCACACTCTGCCAGTTCCTCTCCCAATGCTTCCAACTCCTTTTTTTATTCTCTTGGAATTTGAGAATATCCCCTTCCCTTCAGCCAGCATTTTCTCCCTTTCCTTGTGTGCTTCTTCAACTTGCTCATTAAGGGCAACAAGATTTTCCTCGATCCGATTCACCTCCGATTTGATATCCTTGTATCTGATTAGATTAAGGTCCAAATTAAGAGTAAGTTCCAGCTTGACAGATTCCTTCTCAGTAAGATGATCCTTGTCCCGCTTGGCTTTCATTGCTCGATCAGCTAGTTCATGCAAGCTTTGCTCCATGGCTGACAGCACATTTTTTTGCTTCATTGTAAGAGTGGTAGAGGAACAATAAAAGCTAGCTAGGATCTTGAATGCCTTCTTATGACTTGGAGAACTCTTGCAAAAACAGTAAAAATTAACTGGGGTCCTATTCAGGGCTTCCTCTACTGTAGCCAGTGCTTCCTTTGCTTTTTCTTGAGTAAAAACAGTTCTACAACTTAGCTCAGACTCTAAGCTAGTGAAAAATGTGTTCATATCTTCATCAGTAGGCTCTTCAGGTTCAATGGCCTAAAATGGTGGAAAAGAAAGTGATGATATAAGTAATATATGCAATAATATTAACAACTAACTTGGCTTACTTACCTCAACCTGGCAAGAAGGCTGAGCTGGTGGAGGAGTTGTTAATTCTTCAGGCTCGGTTATCATAGTTTTCTGGTTGTCTATGGCTGCCTTAGCACATATAGCTTCCTCGGTCTTAAGTTTATCCAAATCAGTTTCGACCATTAGTTCATGTGAAATCAAAGCTTTAGTCCTATCAATGGAAAAATAGGCTTCAACCAAGCATGCATCATTGACAAGATAGCCTCTTTTAGGGTCACGTAATTCATTAAGAGGTAAGAATGACGTGAAGCCGAAGACACCATTCCCCTCCTCTGCTCTGAACTCACGAGTAGCGACTGCTAAAAGTAAGAGTATGTATCATCACCAACTACTTGACTAAACAAGATAGAAACAGATTCTAATAAGAAAAAATGGCATGGATAAAATATTTGGCTTATGGTCTTTGACTGTCTAGACCATACCGAAGCCTCAAACAAGCTGAGCTATTAGGGGAAAATGGGAGATTGGATTCAGACTCCAATTCTTTTTCTCAACCTATACAACCAATATGAATCCGAAACTTCGCAGCCGGATAGCTCGTCATATGATGCGTAGCCCCGGTGTAAATGTAAAAAAGCAGTTGAGGATAACGCTTGGAAGATGAATGCATAATACCCACGTGACTCCGTTCCGTGTGTTGTTTATATTGCATTTGATTCTGGCCTATCTTTTCTATTTCTCTACATGTACATATATGGAAAGCTCAAGCATTCACCACATAGTGAGGCCAGGACCAAGGGAAACATACAAAATAAATACTCGGTCCCCAAAAAGGATAAATGCAAAATAGGCAAAACGGAATAAGAGAAAGCAATAGCCAAGAACATATTGTGACAGAAAAAGAAGCAGAACAAGGAATTCAAAGAGACTTTGATGAATGTGAAGAAGAGACTGAGTAAATAACAAAAGGAATTGAATTACACAATTGATTCATGCAGCACTTATGAGCTAACATTCAACAAATGACCCAAATATCAGCTACCCTTCCCCTATTATACTATGACCATCTTTGTATGAAAATAAATAAAACAAGTTCACAAACGGGGAAAAATCAAATAGATAAGTTTTCACATAAGTATATCCAATTCTTTAGAATCAAAGAACTATACACATATCAAACAACCACACCAGCTCATTACTTTGGTAGTTTTGAAATATCTACAAGCAAACAAGAAGTTACCACTCTTTTTTCAACTCTTCTTCCTCTTTAAGAGCGAATTAGTATAGCTGTCTTGTAAAAGGAAGTAATTCGAACAACCATAATCGTTTTGTTTGTTTTACAGAAATGTGATTGCTGCAACAAAATACCTTGTGAAACGGAATTTCTCCGATCGATTTGATCGATGACGGCAAATCCGAATTGGGCATATGCACTCCACCCAGAAGGCAAAGTTGATGAATCTGCAACACGTAAGTAAATTGACAAATAATCTGCACCGTTTCCCTTGGGATAGATAGTAATCCGCCTGCCAAACAAGTAGGTATGCAAAATATAACTGATGGGAGATACAATGCAAATCAAAACAAGAACAACGTTAATGAAGATCAAAGTTACCATTTGTTTCCCTCAACAATAAAATCCTCAGAGTAATACATTTTGTCTTCAATAGTGGAGAAGTTGTCAATCCTCCATGTGAACTTCCTTAGTTTTTCATTAATATCCCTACACTGAAACTTACTACACACTGCACTCAACATTTTAAACGTGAGAACAGAGACTAGAGCGTAGGATTTAGAAAGTGAGAAAGCAAAAGAAAACGTCAGGGAAAGATTATACATATTTAAGAATACCTTCCATGATTGAGTAATCTTGTGGTCAACTGTAGAACGGGGAGAGGGAGACTAGGGTTCCAAATTTGATCAAATATTGACGACTCGAGTCCTTTTATTCCAAAAGTTACAATATAAATAGGGTTTGGGTTTTTGTGAAAAATATTGTTTTTTTTAAACAATATTAATTTATTTTTTAATTAATTATTGGTATCTAAATCAACTAATTCAGATTGAACTTACAGAATTATATAGGCGACTTAGAGGTTCTACATGAGATCCCAAGTTCCATTCCTACCTTCATGTAATGATTTTCTCATATTTTCAATTTTTTATATCAATATTAAGATGACACAAGTCATGGTCTTATTGGTGAAAAATAATTAATTAAAAAATAGAATAAACTATAGGATTATTATTTTCGTTTAAGTTTTGTATACATTTATTCACTGAATTAAAAAAATATAATATGTTATTAATTTTGCTTTTATTTAAGGTTAATTGTCATTTGAACTTTCAACGAATTGCGGATGTGACATTGAATATATGCGGATGTGACATTGAATATATAAAATTAAAAAGGGTAAATTACAAAAATAGTAATAAATATTTGTGTAAGTTTTTGTTTTCCTTAGGCTTAAATACACCTTTGTCTCCTGAACTATACATTTTATACTGAGTTGACCCCTAAAATAATTTTCGGGACATTTTACACTATCACCTTTAAATCATTACCCCGTTTGCCCCAAATAGTTAATATCGTTAAAAAAATCATCATACCGATCATAACATGCCACATCATCTCTTAATTTTTATTTTCTTTTATCTAAATAAATAAAAATCAATTAATAAAATAAAATAAGTAAACTACCGAAATTACCCTTGTTCTTCCATCAACACTACCCTCTTTCCTCAACCCCAACTCCCCTATAAATTAACGACCCATCGATTCGATGATAGTTGCGAAAAACGGCCTTGTACTCGAAGTTGGAGGTATCCAATCTTCGATGATAGAAACATTATCACCAATACCAGCCATGATAGTTCCAAGTCTTGGAGGCTCAATGTCGGTTCGATTCGAAATGCAGACTATAAAAAAGAACAAGAAAATTGGAAATGATTCCATTTTTGTTCATGATTTTACCCTTTTTTACTTTTGTTTTTTTGACATAAGAACTAATTCAAAAAGAATTCCAAAATCGATAAACATATCTTAAAGGAAAAGTAATCAAATTCAAGAAAAAACTCAGCTCTTTGAATGATGTTCCCCAGCAAGATCTAATGGTAAAGGAATCAGACTCATACCAAGCTGATGAAGACAGAAAATGATGAGCAACAACTAGAACAAAATTCAAATCTTTGATCTTACTCTTTTCAATACACGTGAAAATTAATAAAAAAAACTTTATTCATTGGATTTTGAAAAGGAACAAAGGGTTAAGAAGTTTATTCACCAAGAAAATTTAAGTTCAACATCTTCCTTTCGGTGATGTTGGAATGAAAGATGTAATTAAAATGGGTGTTGGAGTTGGGGAAAAGGAGTGTGGACGGTGGTGGATGAGGCGTGACATGTTTTTTTATATATTATGTAGCTTTATTTTTAATTGATTTTTATTTATTCATATAAAATAAATTAAAAATAAATTATGTGTGACATGTTTTAATTGGTTAGTGAATTTTTTTTAACTAAATTAACTATTTTGGGGTAAATGATGTAACGATTTAAAGTTAATGGGGTAAAACGTTCGAAAAATACTTTAAGGGACAACTCGGTACAAAAGATATAGTTTAGGGGGTGTTGAACTATATTTTGATATAACAATTAAGTCAAAATATTTTTGGACTTGAATTGAATTTATTCAAAGTTTTAAAAAATAATTCAAAGTCCATTTAAAAATGGAATTGAGCACAAAACAATTTTCTCGACAAGTACTATCAATAATATTTTTACAGTATCGATACCTCATAAAGAGTACCGATATTGTTCATATGGTACCGATACCAAAGGTAAGGGAAGTATCAATACCCACTGGGTAGTATTGATACTACCAACAATGCTCAAATTCCAGAATGTAAAAATGTTATTGATACCCAAAGAGGTACCGATACTACTCTGTATAGTAATATCGATACCATAGACATAGTATCAATATCATCATGCCTTAACGGCTAGTAACGGCTAGTTGATTTAAAGATAACAAAGATAGTACCATACTCACTTTAGGAGTACCGATACCATCTATTCTGAGCAGTTTTATTTTGCATGAAAATTGATCCCCAACGGCTCCAAAACACTCTCAACGGCTAGAAACGGTCACAACAACATTCCAACATATAAAAACAAATTGAGGACACTTGAAGAAGGGTTAGAAACACATATTAAAGCAATCAAACACAAGAGAAGAGTTTTTCATTCTTATTTTCATTTCTCTTGTAAATATTTTGTTTGTGTGAGCTTAATTCTTGTAAACACACTACCTTTGAGAGATTTATTTGTTTACTTCTTTTTCCTTTTGTAAAGAGGTTTTGGTTCTATCTTAGCCAATTCAAAAGATAATGAGTTGTAAAGGTTATCTCTTTATCCTTGAAAAAGAAAGAACAAATTAATGAATTTGTTAGAAAATCCTTAGTGATGAGCTAAGGTAGTGGATGTAGACTTGGTTGATAAGTCGAACCACTATAAATATTTGTGCCAAAATTTTCTATCTTTTGCTCTCCTTACTCCCTAATTATTTTTTATATATTCACCCCTTATGCATTTTTCAGTTGTTCAACTGAGCCTCTTCAAATCTCATCAATTGGTATCAGAGCTTGACCCATTAGAAGGTTTAACCACCTTTAGACAATCCTCGAAGAAGCTCTACCGATTTTCGATACAACCGACAAAGAAATTGCTTCAACCTTCGGTGCCTACTATATTGAAGATTCACACCCAATCAACAAGTCACCCTACTTCAATAGAAAATTCTGCCTATTGGAAGAATATAATGATTCTCTTCATTCAAGCAAATGATCTAGGAGCTTGGAACTCTTTCATGAAAGGGTACACCAATCCAACCGGCGAGATGGACGATTGGAGTGATGGAGAGAAGAAAAAGTTCCAACTCAATGCTAAGGCTATGCACATTCTTTTTTTGTGCATTAGGCCCTGATGAATATAGAAAATTATCCTCTTATTCTAATGCCAATGAGATATGAGAAAAGCTCCAAGTCACTCATGAAGGAACCGATGAAGTGAGGGAAACCAAGATAAGTCTTCACGACCATAACTACGAAAATTTCAAGATGAAACCCGATGAAAACATCAAAAGCTATGACAAATAGATTTTCTGTGATTGTCAATGGTCTCAAGGGATTTGGAGAAGTAATCTCCAATGAGAAGCTTGTGAGGAAGATGATCTACTCTCTTCCAAAGTCTTGGCAATCGAAGAAGACGACGATTATCGAAGCTAGAGATCTAAAGTCTCTCACTCTCGATGAGTTGATTGGTTATCTTCTTACTCATGAGTTGATGGTAAAGGGATATGAAGAAGATGAAGAGAAGCAAAACAAGAAGGAGGAGGAGGTAGGCATTGCCTTCAAGTCCACCAATAAGAGCTATCAAGATTCAAGTGAAGAGGTGGATGAAGACGATGAAGAAGAAGAGATGACCAAGCTCTTCAAAAAGTTCAAGAGATTCATGTCTTCCAAGAAAGTGAAGAATGAATCAACCAAGAAGAAGGGTCCCCCGGTATGCTTCAATTGTCAAAGAACGGGCATGTTAAGTATGATGCCCTCTCCTAAAGAAGAAGGGATCATCAAAGAAAAAGACTTTTGTGGCAGATTGGAGTGATGAATATGACTCCAATGATGAAGATGAAGTAGCAAACCTATGCCTCATAGTCATCTAAGGAGATTCAATGGTATCTTCTAACTCAAATGATTTAAATTCACATTCTTTTTTATGAGTTACAAGATGCTTATAATGAGTTGTATTTGGAATTTGAGACCATGAATTCCAAATATAAGAAATTAATTTCAAATTTTAAAGTTGAAAATGATTTGATTTTGAAAGCCACAGTTGATTTTAAAAATCAAAATGAAATTTTGAAAAATGATTTAGAGCTTTCAAAAGTTAAAATCAATGATTTAGAAAAAGAAAATTTTGATTTGAAAATTAAGCTTGAGAGCTTACCAAAAGAAAAAGAATTAATTTCTAAAAGCAACTCATTATGTTTACAAATGGCAAAATGCTCACATTGTCATTTTTATGGTCATTTGGAACATATTTGTCCCATAAAGAAAAGAAAATCTTTTAAAATTAGACAAGTATGGATTCCTAAGGGAACAAGGGGAATTAAAACTAACGTCCAAGGATCCAAAGCAATTTGGATACCAAAATCCAAATAAATGTCTCTTGTAGGTGTGTGGGAGCAATGGTGATGAAAATGAAGAAATTAAGATGCTCTAGACACACTTGAAAAATGAATGGGTAACCTTTAAGCTTAATGCTTTTATTTTGGTTATTTGGTTGCTCATTTAGTTTATGCATGCATGAGTTTTGATTTTAAATGATTATGCATTGTTTTTAATCTCATTTATATTGAAAAAGTTTTATGATGGATATTTTAAATAATTTTTAGTTCATCATAATGAATTTTGGTCAAAATTGATTTTAATGCAAATGATATCTCTCTAACAATTGATATCAAACTTCTCAAATGCTTTGTTTTTACAAATTTTAATTTTTTGACCTAAATTTAAATGTTTATGCATGTTTTTTTTAAATGTTAAAGATATCTCTCTAACAATTGATATCAAATTCTTCAAATGCATAACATTTTTGAAAGCTCTATGCACATATACTTAATTTCAATTACTGGTATTGCATAAAGTATTTTAGACTTGGATATATTGAATTTCATGTGCTACTAACATGTTCTTTACTTTTTTTTGAAATTCAATTTTGTTTAAGTGTTAAGATGTTAAAGCTAATTTTTGTTTGGAATGTACTTTTTGAGGACGAGCTTT